AGAAATATACTCTACCCGAACTGTTTCCCCTACAGATAGAGTTTGAATCAGATCTTTACTGCTGCCCTCTTCTTTCATGACTGAAGCATCTTGAACGAGTGCATGATCAGCAACTGATGATCTTTTGGGATTTAAAAACTTATTTTCTGGTGATTGAAATTCTAATGGTTTCCCTGATGGTGGCTTCCTCATAGGACTGTTTAGTGATGAATCTCTGTAAGTCTTTCCTGCAGATCCTTTCCTGCTATTCACTGGTTGTGGACTAGAATTAATAGATCCAGAAGCATGTGAGTCCTTTTTAATTCCTACGTCACTTTCTTTTGAATCTTGGAAATTATTTCCACTGATTGTTCTAAGTTGTAAATCATCATTTAAAGGCATTACAGAATCATTTGTTAAAGTTGATGGATGATCATCATCATGATTTTCTTCATCCACAATTCCTGCTGAATTGTTCTGGTTGTGATTAGCAAACTGTTTCTGTTCTCCTAAATTCTCAGATTCTTGGTACAGAACCTGATTAGACGACTCATTATTAAAGTTCTGCTGAGATCCTGAACCAGATTGTCTAGAATTTCTTTTTGATTTTAACAATAATGGAGTCACTACAACTTCTTTGATATCATTCTGTTCATCAAAATCTTTCTTTACTGAACCTCTAAAAATACCATTATCCTTTTCCACTGTGTGTTCATTCAAATCAACAGGAATTTCAAGAGAATCTTGAGGACTAATGGATCTTTCTTTGTTTCCTTGTATTACATCAGGATTTAATCCAAGTTCAGCAAAAGATCGCTTGACTCGCTCTTTAAGATCTTCCTGATACTGTTTCTCTGTCTCAATACTGCCTTCAGATCTTAGATCTTCATCATAGTACCTGTCAGGGGATCTATCAATTAACCTACTTTCTTCAGATGAATGGGTTCCTGTTGAATGGCGTCTAGTTTCAAGGCTATCCTGCATCATCCCAATATCATCATTTTCATTATCCAGTAACTGGCTATTGTGTCTGGTAATTTTACCAGAACTTGGTTGGTTTTGTACCAACACTCCTTCCATACTGGTGAATTAAGTGTCAGAAAACCTGGTGATATGCTGACTTGAAGCCATTAACTCAGTCACCTGGAAAAAAAATATATCGTTTGATAAGTCATACAATATAATAATTAATACCATTTATTTTGTTAATACATCTGTCACAATAATGAAATGCCATCTTAAATTTCAACCGTTTACTAGTAGGCCAGCCCTCGTTCCAGGCATCCACTACACTTATTAAGCCAGGCACACTGTGTTAGCGCTTGACAACACAACGCCTGCTGGTCAACGGCAGTTCAAGTTGCTAAAAACAATCAACCGCAGAGCTTTACTGTGGTTTCTGCAGTGTTTGCCTGACTACACTTTTATATTGAAATTTTACTGCAATAAT